GAAGAATCTATCTTTTTCCGTAGAGACGCAGAATCCGTAACAGAGCACGAAATTCGTGTATTCTCCCGTGCCATGCGTGACGATTTGGTGAAGAAACAGGTAATCAGACCGACAGAAAACAGTAGATACCGTGCTAAACAGAATCACATCGTGTTCGCCGTTCTTGGTCGGTGGAGGAGCATGGACTACTGCTACAGTAGATGAAACGAATTAGGATGTTACTTTGAACCAGGATGCTGATATGAAATAGGTCATGCAACCCAAGGAAAACCATCTGTTAAATATCTTCCATCCATCAATGGCACTGATAACGCCACTTGAGACTGAACATTCAGATTCTATGCCAGCTTCTTCATGAACAGTCCAAAAAACCAATTGTGAACANTTGCTGTTCTGCTGTTCCTACTTCCATTCATCACTGAACAAAAGCGGCCTTAGAACTGCTGCAATCTACTAGAGAATCTAAGAACTTTAAGCAATTTTTGGAAGAGTAGAAATCACTTTTCTAAGTAAAGAAAAACTGGGAAACGTATCCGAGTAAAGATGCAGAAGAAGAAACTGAGTACAAGGACGATCACCACCGTTTACGACATTCGGATATATATATATATATATATCTTAGTGTCTCAAACCATCGCTTACACCGATTCGGAGGTCCCTATCCAGGAAAGCGAACTCGCAGGGTTTTTCATATCCTCATAACAGGTTTCCAGTTTAACCTCATTTGGTCTTCCTCAGCAAATATTGCACGCTGTGACAATCTAGTTGATGACATGCGCAACACATGATTCAGTCAATCTAATCTAAAGAGGTCGATCAGCTACTCTAAGGGGCGATCGCGATTACCTAAAATCGTGCGATGTAGACAACAACGGTTAAGTCTGTGCACGATAAAGCAGCACTAACCGAACTGCTGCGACTTACACTCAACTCTACACGGACATATGGATGTTTGGACTGCGCCATAGATGCCCAAGGTTGACAAAAGCTAACCGAGCTTTCTGTATGCATAACTAAACTTTATCCGTGGTGCATCCGCCTGATGAGATGTGGCTGCCCAAATTGTTTGCTCTCTCTCTCTCTCTCTTGTTTCTTCAGTCAGGATGGGGCTGGGGACTGGATAAAACCCCGCCCAGTATAATGGCATTTCACACTTTGTTAGTGCAAAACGCATGCGCAGTAGAATTACACGAACACTAAAGCAATCCATAATCGCTTGCAAATGACCCAGATTTTCAATCAGCAGCGCAAATTCATCTGCACGCTTCAGATCAGACCCAAGAACACGAGGCCGCTTTACTAGCACGACGACAAAGCAGTTTTAAGAATTACGTTCAATACAAAACAATAAAAAGGGAAGAAAGTGCAGCCTAATGAATACGAAAACCACTTCCCAAGGAGCCATCGGGTGAAGGAGAACAATAAGCTCAAATGTGGCTTCGGCCGTTCGTCAACAGTCAACGTAGAAGAAATTTGTCCAGCACACCTCCAAGGAGCGGCAGCGCCAGAATAGTGAGGTTGACTGCGTCGAAAACCTCACTTAGAACATGAAGGATCAAGATAGTGAGTTTAGGCATGTCTGTGTTTAACAATATGTCGAAAAGTAAAAGCATGGTCGATGGAGATTGCAAGTGAACGACAGTTGTAGTTTGCGAAGCTTTACGAAAAAAGTTTTCGTTCGAGTGTCTCAAATGACCCTACTCACTGTGCACGCTTGATGAAAGTTTTCTTTCCCGCAAAAGGGAGAAGATGAAAAATCAACACCCGGGGTCATAACCGAGTCGGGGAACCACAGCAACCACAGCGAAGTTGCCTAAAAACTTAAAATCGAAACCAACAGAGTGGAGCGCGCGAACAACATCCACACCCCACCGGCTTGATTACACATCGAGGTGTGATGGGCATTTTGGAAGCTTCACACCATCCAAGGACAGCAATATTCAAAGAACTGGCCACCAGCCAGTAATGGACTGCGGTTTTCACATACCACCCCGCTGTCTTGAAGGTCACATTTTTTTGTCGAAGGCATTCGTTAACTACAATCTGATTGTTCCAATTATCCGCTATAATACTCTAGACTGCGCCTAAATTTATTGTGGTTTATCGTTTGTGTCTGACTGTCCCGAAGCTGGAGCCGATCCCACAGAGAAGGGATGAGTTGGAGCTGATGGATTTATCAATTTCTAAACGTGGTTTTACTGATTTTAGAATACACCACCTCACTGATAGCCTGTCTGTCAAATGTAGTTGCTATAGGCTGCAAGTTTTGGAATATTATTATGCGCATCAGATTTGATCAAATATTTGCTACAATTTATAGATGAGAATGAGCGGAAATCGACACACTCGCAGCCTATAACTGAAGGCAGAAATTGTCCCCTTCAATCTTTGGAATCGTATCCGAAAGGCCAGGAACCGAAAACAGGGAATACGTGTTCATCGGATTTACCTTAGAGTGCAAATGTTTCAATGTTTCAATATCTAACTGATGCAGTCCATGACCAGATGGGGCGACAAAATATATGCACACGTGCACTCGCGAGTCCTTGGCCAGGGAGGATGAGTAAGGTGCACCGGAACCGACAGTGGTTCGGGTCACACTGAGTTCGGATTTTAAGTACGCCTCGAATTGCTGGTCCAGATAATCCACAATCGGTTGCCAACAAGTCGAATTGTCAACACCCTGTCCGAAACCGGGAGTGTCTGAGATACACAGGCGAAGTTTGACCAAACCTTCGCATAATTCGAAAGATCGAGTGTCCACACGCGTGCTTGAGGCGGGGGTGTTTCGTTTGGACGGACCCTGTACGGGATACAATTGTAAGAAGGGCAATAAATAGGAAGGGAGATCATTGGTGAACATCCATGGAAGAACACCACAGTAAGTGTTTAATGTGCATGACGGTGAGAGCAATATCAAGCTTTATTTATAGATTAAGGCTGAGTGAAGCTATCCAGGGTGTGTATGGATTCCTGAGATATGTAACGACGACAAGCATCAGAAAAACCGCGAAACTGTTTGAAAACCGTGATTGCTAGATAAAGATGCTCCACTTTATATATTTATTTTGTCACAGAAATACATACAATCAGTGGTAGACCCCATAATCCAAGAAGATATTATACACGGAAGGGTAAAGAGAACAATCAGGCTAAAACCCACTTGTTGACTCTGCATTTAAAGATAGGAATGATGTAAGTTGGAGGGACGACTGAAAGGGCGAGTGTTCCACAGTTGTGTTATTCTGGGAAAAAAGATAATGAAAAGTTAAAAATGTGACAACTGGAGATAGTCACCTGAAGTACGTGACTAGCCGCATTAAACACGAACTCGCTACCATATCGAATTCAGCTCAATAGGCTTCGTTGGCTAAGAGACGTTTTGCCTGTCTAACAGTCGCCTACCACACCGCGCCGTATTTGTAGTAGCTCCTGCAGACTGCAGAAAGCCACGTGCAGGCCAACAGATGATGTGGAAACGGGGCATGAAGAAATGCACAGAACGATTAGGCAGAGTAGGTATCTATCGTCTTTCAAAAGACTCCGAAACTGGATGCTTGGAGACACTGAAGGTCATGGCAACGAACCGACAGCAGTGGTGATCTTGTCACTTCTTATCGGGCCACAATGCCTGAAATAGTGTGCATGCACACTTGGACTGTGTACTCCGTATGTTGACCATAGAAGTTAGCTTTCTTTTCCTGACCCTCGAAATAGACTAAATCCCACTCCTCCTTACGCGTTCTCACATGCCTTGTATGCATTATGAATTTGGCAGCGGTCAGCGAAGTTCGCTTTGCCGTATTACGCTGTTCGATGATGATGATATACGAGGGAGGAAGAGGAAGAAGGATGGAAGAACCAAGTTCAATCAAGTGAAGCCCAAAAATATCGTTAGAATAAANCCACGATGACCTATTAACGTGTTAGTGATGAGTCGAGATCCGCTGTTCGACAGGATTTTCCAGAAGAGGCCAATGAACTCAAAACCGGCTCATCTGAAACAACTCTGCTGTCTTTCAGCCCATAGTTGGTTTCGCAAAGGCTGAGTGCAACCTTGATCAAAGCCTACTCTGCAGTGGGCGACCTAACAGTGCAATAGCCCACAACGCATACAACGATGAACTTTCCTGCTCTTACGACTCTGGATTATCATTCAATGCAAAATATTCTACACTATACACACCCACGTGTTCTCGCCCCCCTCTCCCTTACTTTGGCCTTGCTCACAACTCATATTGGGTTCCTCTGACGTTTGTACTAACAGTAGTGCACCTGATGGAAGTTCTGCCGCTGTTTTACCGCGTCCTACGTTGACTACCGTACAAGTTTCACCGATTCCTCCACCAGCTGAAGCCCTTCTTCGTCATTGATGCCCATTCAAACTAGCCACATTGAATATGCGTACTGTGATGCGTATAGGGCAGCAGGAGTGCTCAGCTCGTACGCCTGATATCCTGACGATTGATGTGTGTACTGTATCCACGAAATTCGCATCTAGCATCCCAACTCAGTGATCCCATTGACGTCCCATCAAACCAATCTGTGAAGTTTCATTTATGCTTCTTTGGGCACCCTGTGGCTGCGGCTTCCGGTCATGCTGGCATTTGCGTGACTACTAATGAAAGAGATGAAGCCACGCATCGAGACTGGTTCGCAGTAGAACGTAGGTTTATGCAGTGAGACTCAGAGGTTCGTACAAAGCCGTCGCCCCGTTGGCGTCGGTAAACACGATAATTAGCTGCAGCCCAGATGCAATCAAAGGTGAAATTTACCAAAAACTACATGCTCTTGCATAAAGCAGGCCTGGCTGATATCGTGATTGTAGCAGGCGCTTCGAATGCTAGAGTAGGCGGCAGACCTCGAATGAGGCGCATCTGGGAGGTCTTTGTGTACTAAATTCCTATCGCTGTATACCGTATCGAGGCAGATCGAATCAGTCATCAATAATTATAACCTCCCTTCTTATAGTCTTTCAAATGTTTCAGCACCAATCTGGCAGGAACACACGAACGAAGAACCGCTGAAATTCCGTTCGGAAATAAATTCGGTCTTTTATCGTTCCATTCTGTGGTTCTACGTGTCTGTCTGATATGCGTGACAGTAGTGAATGTGTTAACGAGACTACCATTCACGGTCGTTGCTTCTAGACCGTTCAGAACGGGAAATGGAATTGATTCGGTAGCGAACTGTAGCATATCGCAGGTGGCTCCAAGTTCCGACCACCGCCTATTCCTCACCAGTAAGAACTTCAGATGATCCAACTGGAGGTACGACACTTAGCGTCCGCCCTCCCCCAGTCGGCGACGAAAACAACTGTTCTGTTCAGTTCGCAAATCGATTACATCGCTATGAGCCCCAAATGGTGGGCTTCCAGACAAGACTGTCGGTTGTGCTGGAGCACTACTCTCGAATAAGACTACGCATTAGTTTGCTCCCAGCTGTCCATGTGCTTTGGCGGGCGTTTTAATCACATAACTCAACGATGGTTAGACTGTTAGAGCTGTCCTAAACAGCTTTTAGCTGTCTTTCAAAACGCGCTGGCTGCAAAGCTATAATTATCCCCACCCAATATCATCAATCAGTAGTAGCGGCGTATCAAGAATGGTCTGCATTGTGCTGGTCTAATTACGAGTGATCTGAAAAGACGTGTCGCGTCATTTTGGATTTTTGCAGTCTATACCTTCGTGACGCACGTCGATCAATCCCGACCAACAGGGAGCATAATAAAACATGACCCGGAAAGGGTTGCAACCTCAACACAAACTTGCCTCCAAAAGCCTCAGTATGGTCGGGGGTGGGTGTTTAGGGTTGCGGCTGGTCACCCTGCCCTTGCACCTCACGAAATGCTCCCATACGACCAAGCGTCTCAAATAGCCTCTGCTGAGGAAGCCCTACTCACTACCTTCTCGCGGCGGAGGTGTTTTCCCACCAAAGTGAGAGGACAAAAANACCAACCAAGAAGAGGCGTATGAACCACACCCACACCTTTTCGGCTGTGGCAGTGGTCACCGACTCGATTGGGCATTGAGGTGTATTGGGCACCTTGGACGTCTGACCCCGTCCGAAGGGCGTATGATCCGATGAATTGGACACCGGCTCCCAATGGATTGCGGTTTTCACACACCGCCCCACTGCCTTGCGGGTCAGGCTTTGGCTAGCCAAAGGCTCCGATTGTGGATTCCTCAAGAAAATTCACCTGCCTTGGCCTGGGCAACCTGGCAGTACTCAGCCCACAAGCCAATCATGGAACATTATCTTTTTCATAAAAATTATTGTACCATGATTTGTTTGGCACATAGTCTGTCCTCCGACAAGTGTGAAGTATAATATTATATATATATATACATATATATATATTATAATATATATATCAACACAAACTTACGCAGAGACTGTGAAAAATGGTGGACTCTACGAACAGCAGAGGTGGAACGCGCTACGACTATAGGAAATTGGCACAAGCTATTCTGTCTCATTCGAATTACCGGTACGAAAGTTTCGGATGTGAGCGATACGATCTGTTAAGCTAACGGCTGGCCCATTCACAATCAACAGCGGAACACTTCGAAGCACAGTTTAGATGGTCATTATCTATTGCGGTACACATCTCATGATCTGTTCCAACAGACCTACCTTCTGAGACAGAAATTCTCAAGGAGATCCAAGCTAGAGCAGCCTTCGCCAACCTACGACACCTGTGGTGCAGCCATGACATACGACTATCCCTCAAGTGAATGAAGAACATGGTTGTAATTCGTAGTATTGTACTTTACAGTTGCGAGACCTAACCCCTCGACGTTGGCGCTAATCGAGTATTTAGCCGCCAATGTCTTTGAGGTATTGCCTGGGTCTGGCGGGAACATTATGTGAGCAATGACGAGGTTCATTGTCGTGTTTTGGGTGCAGATAGTCGGTCTCTAAAAGAAGCAATCGCACTACACCAACGCCGATGGTTCGGTCATCTTTTGCGTACGCCTGCCCATCGCCTACCTGTCCGTGTTCTCTTTGCACGTGCTGGGCAAGGTAGGAAGAAACGTCGCGGCGGCCAGACCACGATATGCCGTAACGGTATGAAAATGTTAGCTTCAGCTTTGACTTCCGTTGGTGCAGCCCGCCTTCCGGGTTGGGGTCCAAAGGATGAAGATTGTCGTTGGTTAGATACACTAACAGATACGACCCAGAAAAGAACTCAGTAGCGTGAATGTTTCGCGGTCTACCCGCTGAAATCGAGTGCCCCATACAAAACGATAAACACACAAAAATCGAAGAGTGTACAGTGAAAAAATTGCATTTCTCGTTATCTAAACCCATTGTAACTGACCTCCATTTTACTGTGTTCTACTCTAACCACCCGATCCTGTCATTATTGTTTATACACATATATATGGGTCGTTGATGAGACTAATCATCATCATCATCATACAACGAAAAACAGCGAAGCTAACTTGACTGATCGCTACTACTGTGAAAGATGGCCTATCGTGAGGAAAGAGGGTGGTGGTGGCGTAGTGGTTTAGTAGTAGCAGCGTGCTTGAATCCTGTGGTCCGAGGTTCAAGTCACACCACCGCCACCTAACTTTGGTGGTAGGCAGCTTTACTGTCGTCCGGCCCAACACCACACCTAACCCAGTGGGCCTTATCTGCTTCACCATTCCAAGTCCAGCAGTTGCCAATTTCCATCCTAAACAGGTCCCTGTTGATATGTGGATTCACTCGATCTGCTGTTTATCACACTGAGGTGTGCAATAAAAACAGAAAAGTAAGTGAGATTCTATAAACAACACAGGGAACACAGTTTAACGGTGCATACACACTTTTTCAGGCAATGTAGCTTGATGGAAAGTGACAAGAAAAACGCCG